GCCGGCCGGCCCCAACCGCCTCCCCGGCTCGCCGCCCCTCCGGCCCCGGCCTCCCGCCAGGACCCAGCTTCCTTTGTGGATCTGAATGATTTTGGGGGGCCTCCTCCCTCCCTCTTGAGATTACGGTGCTGGAAGGCCGGCCCGCCACCTCGGTCAGTGCCCCCCGCCCGGGTAACGTCCCTCGTTTTGTTCCTCCCCGCCGGCCCTCCCCCGCCCCGCTCCTTTCGGTGTTTGATGGGTTTTTTTAGTTTTTGCCCTTTTATTTTTCTCGTCTCCTGACTGGAAGGCCCCGCGCGAGGCTCTGCGCCCGGGCCCCTCCTCGTCTTTTCCTCACCCTCGCATAAATAGCCAACCCCCCAGCCCCCCGGCCGGCGATGGCGCGACAGTGAGGGCGGCGAGCCCGGACCACGCTGGGACAGTGCCCGCGCCCCGGCGGGCGTGAGCACACACTCCCCCGCTCTGCGCCCCTTTTTCGTCTTCCGAGCTCTCTGAGAAGAGAGAAGACGCAGGGGAAGATGTGGCTGAAGCTCTTCTTCCTGCTCCTCTATTTTCTGGTCCTGTTCGTCCTGGCCAGGTTTTTTGAGGCCATTGTGTGGTATGAAACTGGCATCTTTGCCACCCAGCTGGTGGATCCGGTGGCGCTGAGCTTCAAGAAGCTGAAGACCATTCTGGAGTGCCGGGGGCTGGGATATTCAGGGCTGCCCGAGAAAAAGGATGTCCGGGAGCTGGTGGAAAAGTCAGGCGAGTATCGGGCGCCCCTGGGGTCCCCTCCACCCGGTGGAGGGGGCGACTTGTACTTCCTCGTACTTGGTGGTTCCTCCAGAATGAGGCATTACCTGGAAGGGTTAAGCAGACTACTCCGAGAGCTGTCCAGGTTTTCTTGGGGGGAAAAAAAAAAAAATGAATCCCAGTTTTGAGAAGGGGGCTGGAATTATTTGCAACGGGTGTTGCTGTATCTTTTTAAGGTGTGTTTGTTTTTTAAATAACATATAAGTGCAGCTTCTTAGCATTGTTTACTAAGAAACAATTTTTTTAAAAATAGGGAATGTCAGCTGGTTACAGACAAACTGGAAAGCAGTTTTTGTCGGTTGAAATTCACAAGGATATAAGAAAAGGAAAACCCCAAAAAGTTGTCTGTAGATAGCAGTATTTGTCACGATAGTAATCATAGCGTAATAACAGGAGGGGGAAATATTGGAATTCTTAATATTAAAGAGGAATTTAGGGCTAAGATTTAAATTTTAAATCATGAGTTTAAATATAGAGAAAGTGTAAACTGTACAGCATTAGCTTTTCATACTTCAAGTTTGGTGAAAATAAAGTGAATATGTTTTGTGAATGCGTATCTTGTTTTGTTTTGGAAGAGTTTATATTTCTTTCAGCATTTAAAAAAAATCCTTACGTCTTGGATGTAAATTTTTCTTTTTCCTTTTAGAAGTCACAGATACAGCTGCATCAGCTTAAGTGGTTTGAGAAATAGAATGGAAATAGTGCTAAGAGAATATTTATTTAACATCTTAAGCAGTGCATTGTCAGTGACTGTTGGTTTGGGGGTAGGATTGAATAAGAAATATGGTTAATTTTTTCACCCCTGGACAAAATATATCTTTGTTTAGGTAAATGTCCTAGAAGGGGAATGTACTGTAACTTGAGAAAGACATTCTGGGTTGCTGTAGGAAGCAGTTGAAACTGATGGTTATCTTTTTTGTTTCAAATATATCTGCTGTGTCTTTTACAAGACAGTTTTTTTTTTCCTTATTTAGTACCCTATAGCCATTGTTGTGGGATAGACGAGAATACTAACTCCAGAGGACTTTAGCACTACATATTTGCCAACCTTGAGGGTTATCAAATTTGTATCTCACTACGGGGGTAGAGGAGGGAACCCTCTGTAGATGCGATGCTTTTTTTAAGAGAAGACATAAAATCCATTTTTTTTTCTTGCCTCTTGTTTACTGACTGGTTTATGGTGACTTACTTCTACCACAGGGGTGGGGGATGGGAAATGGAGTAAAGATCTCTAATAAATGAATTTTCTAGGTTTAGAAGTATCTTAACTGCCAAAGCTAAATCATTTCTCATGGTAAAAAAAAATTTAACAACACTTTTTTCTTTTGACTTTTATTTAGTGTTGCTTCCTTTGGGCCTAAAAATACTTGTCGCTTCGGGTGTACAAGGAATGCACGTATCATTTAAAGAATACACACAGCCCACAAAAGTATGACTCGGATCACACATTTTATAGCAAAGAAGTCTTGGTATAGCAATTTAACTTTATCATTTAAATATTCGTTGTGAACGATTTTGCTGCTGTCATGCTTGTTTTCACATTTAAGGCAAAAATTAAAATAATTCGACATTAGTGTTTACTTTTTATTTGATGATACAAGCTCTCAATTTACACAGTAAATTTGAGTATGAATGTGGAGGGGTTTTTTCATATAGGTAACCTTTGTATCTAACCCTCAAGTCTTATAAACCTTATTGCTATTTTACGCAGGTGGAAATGGCAAATTCTGTAAACCCATTTCTAAATCTTGTAAGTCAGAAGTATATAAATCATACTGTTTAAAAATTATTTGAAGCCCGGCATGTTATACACAAAACTAAATAATACTGTGATGGCTTTTTGGACTGACCAGGAAATTAAGTAATTTCCTAACAAATTATGTGATGACCCCACTAGAATATAAGCTCCATGAGAAGATGGATTTTTGTCTGTTCATTTTTGCCTGACACATAGTAGGTTTTTATGACATTTTTACTGAGTGAATCTTAAATGGGTAGGTATATACAGGTTCTACTTTTCTTTTCTATAGACTGAAATAGAAGTACTGTGACGTGATTTTTAACAGTGTAAAATGGAACTAATCATTGAAGTTAGGAATGTAGAATTTTTTTTTTTTAAGATTTTATTCATTTGAGAGAGAGAGAGCACAAGCAGGGGGAGAGGCAGAGGGAGAGAGAGAAGCAGACTCCCTACTGACCTGGAGCTCATGACCTGAGCCCAAGGCAGATGCTTAACCCAGATCTGAGCCACCCAGGAACCCTGAGAATGTAGAATTTTTGAAATCTTACTAGTGTTATTTTTTTCCTTTCTTCAGGTGACTTGATGGAAGGTGAGCTCTATTCTGCACTCAAGGAAGAAGAAGCATCTGAATCCATTTCTAGTACCAATTTCAGTGGTGAAATGCACTTCTATGAGCTTGTAGAAGACACAAAAGATGGCATCTGGCTGGTTCAGGTATCAGAAACAGTGACAGAAGTGAAATTATTTTTACCAGACTAGTGTTCACCAGCTAGTGACACTTCTGTGTACTTGTGTCATGTTTCTTAAACATAACTCAGTCCTCATAGGGAGGCTCCAGTGTCCTCTGAAAGAGGTTTTGCAGACCAAGGAAAATGAGAAGTGAAGAGAGGGGGAAAGGAAGCTTTGGGGAAAGAGAGTCGACAAATCCATTGTAGTTGCTGGATCTTCATTAAAGTTAAGAAACATGGATATATTCCTTTTGTTGAGCGATTTGCCCTGTTTTAGTTTTGGTTAACCAGTTTTTAATTCAGTGATCCAAATGATTTTTGTATCTAAAGGAAGAACCCTGAAATAGAAGTAAGAAAATCCTGCTATTAGGGAAATAGCCAACTTTGTGACTATAGAGGACGAGATATTGTGGGGAGTGGTGGGGAGTGCTCATTACTCTGCTTATGAAATTGGTGAAATGATAATTTTAAACCCTAAACTCTTGTGATATCAAAACTGTGAAAATTAATTAGCATATTAGAGTTGTAGAGCTATGAAAGGCCTAAAAAATAGTCTTTTATGCTTTGCAAAGTGTGCTTTATGTACCACTGATGGTAAATGAGTGGGCACACATTATCATTTAAGGATTTTAATGCAAATTAGAAAATTCAATATTATATTGAACATGTCATAAATATGATTTAGGGCAAGGCTAAAGTTATTTAAATTGTTAAAAATATAAGATCACTTAAAGTAAAATATCAAGTAAATTAACAGCATGATTTTGGCTAACATTATGATTATTGAATCAGGATCAAATCCCAGGACCCCGATTTCTTGTCCAGTACTCTTGTCATTTCACACTGGGGTTAGCTGTTTGATTGAGGGTATAAAAATCCAAATTGCTTCTTCGTATTTCTTTCTGAGGACAATGATGTCAAAATATGGTAGAAAAAGCTAGGAGTTCAGAGAACTTAGATGCAGATCTGGTCCTGTCATAGATTTGCAATATAATTATGGATAGACAGATTTTTGTTGTACCTGGCCTCAAATAAAACATATACCTCTAAAGAGGATGAAATAATACTGTGGTCCACGGAGCTAAAGATTAAAGAGTTGAGGTTTGGGAATTCTTCGGGTGATTACATTAGCTATTCATGACTTCCCTTTACATGCAGTCTTCCTATTGTGTTTGACCTTTTACCTGCCAAATAATCTAAGTCTGTAATTTTTAAATTGAGCAAAGGGAGAACCTGGGAGGTTATGGGTATAGTCTATACATTATCCATCAAATTCTACTTTATTTCTCTGTGAATTAATTGGTATTAGAAAATAAACTAGCATCTCCAAAGCTTTAATTTATAAGTAAATAGTTATTCCATTTCCTTTCCCAGATATTTATATCTGATGGTCTGATCAAGAAAGACTTGTTGGCTTTGATCATTTTTAGTTTTATTTACTGAGGTTGAGTTGAATAGCCTGTCCCATTTACCTGTGTTCTCTGTTTAAATGTTTGTCCATACATTGAATGATCCCATAGAGATGAATAATAAATAGATGCTGAACACCTTCCAAACTTGGAAAAGCCATTTCAAAAGTCTAAGTATATTCTTTTGGTATATAGGATTCTACCTATAGATAATTAACACATTCTAGTTCAATAATTAACATATATTCTAGGCTTATAAATGATATACTGTTCTTTAATTTTTTTTTTTTAAGACTTTTTAAAAAAAGATTTTATTTATTTATTTGAGAGACAGAACATGCACAAGCAGGGGAGGCGGGGCAGAGGGAATGGGAGAAGCAGACTCCCGGCTGAGCAGGGAGCCTGATGTGGGGCTCGTTCCCAGGACCCTGAGATCATGACCTGAGCCCAAGGCAGATGCTTAATTGACTGAGCCACCCAGGCGCCCCCACTGGGGTTCACCTGGGTGGCTCAGTCGGTTAAGCCTCTGACTCTGGGTTTTGGTTCAGGTTATAATCTCACAGTTGTGGGATCAAGCCCCTCATGCGAACGTGGAGCCTGCTTCAGATTTTCTCTGCCTCTCCTCCTCTGCCCCTTCCTCTGCTCTCTCACTCTCTCTCTCAAAAAATAAAATCTAAAAAAATAATAAAGATAAACATGGATTAAACTCTGTTAATAGGTGACAAAATTCAAATAGTTTATTTAGCAGTTAGTTGTATGCCAGGCCCTGGAGATAGACTAGGAACATACACCAGGCTAAGTCCTTGCTCCTCAGGCAGCTCACATTCCAGTTGAGAGACGTATGCAATAAATAAGTAAATATTTAATATAGCATCAAGTTAGTAAAAAATGCTAAGAAGAAAAATAAGGAGACAGAGAGTGGCAAAAAATTCTGATAAGGGGACACTTGAATGAAATGAAGAACAAATAATGAATGATAGTGAATGTTAGCATTATAAATTCTAATCACTAAATTATTTTCCTCTGAAAATATTAAATAAGCCTCACAAGGTATTAGTAGTTGAAAAATGACTCCTAAGAAAAATGGAATGTATGTGGTTTTCCATGTGTTCGTGGTAGTAGGACATACATTTAATTTTTCCAGTGACCTTCAGGATTTGTACTGATCGCCAGTGTCTGGTTTGTGTCTCTTGGAGCCAGTCGCTTACATCTGTCAGATGGCTGGCTTGCGTTAGAAGAACAATCTCTGGCAGGACAACTGAGAAGATTGAGATTGAAACCCTGTCTTCAGGCATTCTGAAGTCACCAGCTAAGCTAAACAGCACAGACAGTGGTGTAAGCACTTAAAAGAGGGCTGTTGGTTTTTTGTTTTTAAATTGAAAATGTTTGTTAGAAACAAGATTAAGTATTCTCTCGGTTGCTTGTCATTCTTTCAGCTTAGGTCATATTTATCTAATCTCTTTTGAAGGATAACTTTTAAAATTCTGTTCTTAGTAATTTGAATTATCATTCTTTTCTTTTTATTTTAAAAGAAGCTGACTAATTTCAGTTTGCTCTGTCATTTTTTTTTTAAATTTTTGAATATGCATAGATCCCGGCCAGTTCAATCCTCTTCAGATTGCCTTTATTTTAGGTATGCTGTGTAAGAAATATTTAAGCACATCAGAATTCTTTCTTTTCCTCCCATTTTTCTAATATCATTCCTTACTCCTATGAATTATGGTTTTCTTTTGTATTTATTGAGAAAAAAAATGTAGTTAGATGGCATATAGATAATTAGCACTTTAGGCTTCATAAATCATGTCACTGAAAGGATGTCTGGATTTACTTATTTAGAGAAAATGTGACTTTAATAAATGGGTATATGACTTAGCTATTCCATCACATGATCAGCTCATTATTTTTCTGGAATGGATTGGTAATCTAGGTTGATTATCTTTTTTGGTGACACCAATGTGGAATGGTGATACTACATGAGAAAAATTGAATTTGTACAGTTTACTTAATTCATCCTATATTTCTTATAATTTCTATCTTCTGTGCAATTTATACTTTTATTTTCTGCATGATACATGTTAATGACCTTTTTATCTTTCTCTTAATTGTTTTAAGATGTATTAATGCTCATAAATTATCCTTACATTGAACCAGAGTATTAGGATGCTCCTTTTCGTGTCAAGTTTTTCCATGTCTATCCTATATTCTCTGTAATATGAGGTGAAAAGAACTAATTTTAGTTTTCCAGGCAGCAACACATATGGGACATCTTTATCATCAATATACTATGTAACCCATGGAACAACTGAGTCCTCTTTTTTTCTTAATAGTTCTAACATTCTAAGTTTTCCTGCTTTGTTCCTAACCTCAGCTCATATCTCTCGTCAGTTATTTATCTTTTGGTGTTCTGGATTCTTTGGTTTTACCACCACCCAGTCTTCTGAGCGTCACAAATTGAAGACGGTTATTTTTTTTTTTCTCTCCAGAAAACTCTTAGAGAGGCAGATGGAACAATGGCTAGGCTTCTGAAATGGAAAAGTTAGCACGCTCTTTGGGTTTTACGGGTTCATCCTTGTCTTAACATTTGTATTTCTCCTTTTTGACCTTGTTCAACGAAGGACTGTGGTATTTGTTCCCTACTGTCTTTATCCCCATCATAAGGAATTTACCGTCACTGGAATTGAGGTAGCAGTGAAAAGCATCATGTGATTTAAAGTAAAGCTGTGGGTCAATATTTACTGAAGTATTATGTTACTATATTTCCTGTTTGGGTAAAAAGAGTTAATAGCTATCTTAAAACTTGTTTAGCTTTGTTCTAGACAATAGTTCTGTCCCGGGAGATTCTAACCTATTTATTCCTTTCTTGACACTACTCTGAAGGTGAAATACATGGCAAGCCATTTTATCATTTATTTTGTATGGTGAAAGACTTTTATTTCTGTTTATTCATAAAGAAAGCTAGTGGGGATACCAAGGAAATAATTAAATGCCATTGAATTTTGTTTCTGTCAATCACTTGTCCTCACTTTTAATGATTTTATACAATTTGCATATATTTATTTAAGTTGGTCTGTGATTTTTAAAGTAGAAACTCCCCATTAATAATGAAATATTGGGGGATGCCTGGGTGGCTCAGCCGGTTAAGTGTCTGCTTTTGGCTCAGGTCATGATCTCAGTGTCCTAGGATTGAGTCCCGCATTGGGCTCCTTGCTCAGCGGGAAGCCTGCTTCTCCCTCCACTCCCCCTGCTTGTGCTCTATCTCCCTCTCTCTCTTTCTCTGACAAATAAATAAATAAAATCTTGGGGAAAAAAATAATGAAATACTGAGAGCTGCAGAAAATACCATAGCCCAGCACTCCTGTTCTATGGAGTTTTGTTATTTAATTTAACCTAGATTTATATGGCAGATGTTCTGATTAGTAATAAAACCCACCTCTAAAAATTAGGCAAAAGTATATGGTTTTTTTCCTTATACCAATGTAACACCTATAATACATGTGGAAAGGAATAGACAGTAATCTGAGGCCTAGTTTTTCTTTGTAAGTTTGACTGGACTACACAAGGTTGACATCAGAAAATATGGGCACTTAGCATCACACACTATTCGACACAGTTCCATGCGTGATGTGCTGGAGCCAGCTCATACTGCTTCATGAAGGGTGATTGTTAACATCTCTTCCCAGCTCCATGTTTAGAGATAACATGTTGGATGGGGCGCCTGGTTGGCTCAGTCGGTTAAGTGTCTGCCTTCAGCTCAGGTCATGATCCAGGGTCCTGGGATCGAGCCCCATGTCGGGCTCCCTGCTCAGCGGGGAGTCTGCTTCTCCCTCTCCCTCTGCCTGCCGCTCTCCTGCTTGTGCCCTCTCTCTCTCTCTCTCTGTCAAATAAATAAATAAATAAATAAATAAGATAACACGTTGGTAACTTGAAATCACCATATGGTAGTATTTATACCAAGGAAATCAGCAAGTAATAGAAATAAGAAGTCCCTTTTTCTTTTGGAGAGCTAGTTGTTAAATCTCTACCCAGCAAACCACTGGTTCCATTCATTCATCTAACCATCTAACAAATATTTATTGAAATCTAATGTGTGCCAACTGAACCTTAGGATTAGCACTGAGGGCACAAAGATGAATAACCTATAGCCTGTGCCTTAAGACAGCTTATAGTATGGTTTACTAAAATGTGTAGACCAGTAAAAATCTTAGTATATGATTATCTTTCAGCTGAGTTAGATGGCCCGTGATGGTGCTATTGCATCTTGAGAGATCCTAAAGAACTCTATTAGATAGTGAAGTGGGACCTAGGAAAATTGTGGTAGTTTTTTTCTGGAAAAAGTATATTTTTAAATTCGTTGAATTGAAAGTCCTTATGTCTGACCGGGGTCAAGAACATTAATATGCGGGGCGCCTGGGTGGCTCAGTCGTTAAGTGTCTGCCTTCGGCTCAGGTCATGATCTCAGGGTCCTGGGATCGAGCCCCGCATCGGGCTCCCTGCTCCGCGGAAGCCTGCTTCTCCCTCTCCCGCTCCCCCTGCTTGTGTTCCCTCTCTCGCTGTGTCTCTCTCTGTCAAATAAATGAATAAAACTTAAAAAAAAAAAAAAATCTGTTTAAAAAAAAAAAAGAACATTAATATGCAATTGCATAGCAAGGTACTATTTATGCTAATGTTTGTCCGGAAAGTATTCCAGATGATAGGTTGCTAAGGAAGGGATTTATAACAGATACCAAAAACTTGGTGGCTTTAGGGAACTTGTATAGTCAGAAGTAGAAGAATGAAGTTACTAAGCTGTAAAAAGCTGAAATAGTTCAGTTAAAGATAAATATTTAATGAGTACCCAAATGATTTAGGCACTATACTAGCTGCAGGAAATGCAATGGTGAGCAAGTGTAGGGATGCCAGTTAGAGAGGCAGATACCAGGGAAGGAGGGGGGAAAGATTCCTTTACTTCCAGCTTATGCTGCCAACTCTGTTCCAGACTTGGAACTTGGGCTGTACTTTCATCTAGTTTTTTTCTAGTCTCTGAAAATATTCCCCACAGAGAACACAATATCTTTCCTGAACTGCCGAGGAATATATCTCTGCTTTTAGTAAGACCAGCAATGTGAGTGCCTCTCGGAATCATCGTGCATACTTTTGGATATGAGCTGTAAGTTGGGAACTCTTACTGGTGTGACATGGTAATAATAGGCTTAGAGTATTTGATTGTGCCATGTGACTCAGCCAGATGCTTTATTTTGTGAAAATACTAAATTTTTAGTAGTGGTTTAATTCAGCCTCTACAAAATTTAATTTATGCTAAACCTTAAGTTGAATAATAGAACTATATAGGGCATTGAACAGAGCAATTTCTAATTGCATAAATATAACTTCAGAGTCAAATAAAATGCTTTCATGCAATGAATGCCTAGGGGAGTTTTCATTTTTGTGAGGCTCTCTGTGTTAGGGATCATTAAACTCTTCAAAAGCAGGCGTGGGTACAGCTTGCTGAATAAATAAGGCCCTGGGGTTAAACATTGTCATGTACCTGCTCGGATGTCCTACCTCTGATCACAGACTTCTATTTTCTGTGCTGTAACCAGCAGTGCCTGCCAATGACCTCCTCTCATTCCTACTTCCTTTCCTAGCATTGGAGCTCTTGGAAGTCTGAAAGATACCTGTAAAGTGGTCAGGATATTCACTGAAAGATGCCCCTAGACTTAGGGCCATACCTTACATTGATTAAAACAACCTCTTAATTAACCCCTTGATGCAATGTCATTATAAACACTGATCTGAAATGTTTGGGTTATTTGCAGCCTTGATCAGGAAATGGGAGTGAAAAGAAGTTCTTTAAGAATTCTTTTAAAAGGTAGGGAGTATGGTGGTATGATTGCACAAAGACTTCTCAAACCTTCTCTAATCTGAAAAATAAGTCAAGATTTCTTTGATTACTTGATGGAAACAAGAACTACCATATTGACTCTTGAGTAGTAGGGGGAAAAAGAAAAGAAATGCTTGCCCTGCTTTTTCTTCCTGATTATTCAGATAAAATATATCCAACCCTTTTGGACCATGGAAAAATGAGAGCTAGGGACTTAGTGGGTACCGTAACTGGCGTGAACCTCCTCAGAAAGAGCTTTCATGTCCTCAGATTGCCCTCTTCCCGGTTACCTCCACCATCTGAGCATGTGAATAAATGATTCGTGTCTCCCTCAATAAGGCCTTTATTTTCACTAAAAAGCACACAATGAATCATGGAACACTACATCAAAAACTAAAGATGTAATGTATGGTGATTAACATAACATAATAAAATAAAAATTTTTTTAAAAAGCACATCAAAACCATTTGTTTAATGCTTTCAATTGTGTATGCGTTGATGTATTTATGAAGCATCAGAGTTCTTACAAAATGTTACATGTAGCATGTATGTCTCTATAGATGTGGGGATGATGGTAGCAATGGTATATGGCAGGGGTTAGTGGACATAAAGTGAATTTCAAGTCATTTGTCACCACCACATGCTCTCTTTCTGCTGTCCTTGAAATTTATTAGGCTTCCCAGCAGAGGGGCCACAATGAGGTAGCTATACCACTCTTGTTTCTCCCAGGGGTACATATTGGCACTCACTTCACACGCACACCTGGGATTTCATTTCCTGGAGGCTTTGTGAACATGAAAATGGCCCTTCTTCCCAGAAAGGACCCCAGAGTATAGTGTTGTAATTTTGAATAGATAACATCAGTTACATAGCCTTTGTGAAAATAAACTTGGCCTATATACCCTAGGTTTAAAATAAATCAAACAGATGGTTTCGTGAAGACTTTAGACATTTTGGCTTTCCTTTAAGTTCCCATTTAGTTGTTTTTGTGTTTTTGTTCTTAACATATAATTTTGTTTTTTACTGGTATGTCTGTTGAAGTCCTGCCTTCATTCAGAGCAGAACGATTAGGGAATAAAAGGAAAAGGTGTTAACGATTAGAAAGGCTAAGAAGCCATGACACATTTTGAAGGTTAACTTACAGTTTTCCTTTTTCCTTTTATTTTTTAAAAAATCTTTTACTTCTCCCAATCTTGGTTGTGTTTGAAAGCTATTTGCAAGTTTGAAGTAGAAGTTCAAGAGTGTAGAATTCATTATGGTAACTTTTTTTTTTATATGTTAGATCCTTTTCATGATAGTTAAGAAAAAGCCTTTGAAGTAAGAGTATTCATTTAGTTAAAGCATAGTTTAATAGAAAACATATGTTTGACTCTTGGCTCCATAATTATATTTTTAAAAAGTGAAATTTGAACTCATTGAACCCACATGTGATAATTTCTAGGAAGCTTTATTTACATTATTGTTTAAAATTTTTGGAGCATAGAAATGCCTCCAAAGGCCATTTTCTTCCTGTGTAACTTATTTCTAGAGAATAGGCCTACAGGGTGGAGAATGTGGCTAGCTTTTTAATATGGTTTTGATTCCCCTTGATGTAACTGCCACAGAGTGTGGAAGTTTAATGCACTGTATTCAGTGTTTTAAGCCTTTTCAGTTGGGCAGTTGTTCCTTCTACGAGAATTGCAGTGGTAATATAACTGGGAACAGAATCTTTTTCCAAAGATAAAGATGTATTATAGATAATAACTGGTTGGTTTGACTTCATTTTAGGTAATTAAAGTTTCTGTTTGTTTGTTTTTTTCTGGGCAAATAGGTCATAGCAAATGACAGAAGTCCCTTGGTTGGTAAAATCCACTGGGAGAAAATGGTGAAAAAGGTGTCAAGATTTGGAATACGAACAGGCACTTTTAATTGTTCCAGTGACCCCAGGTGAGTTGATTAGGCAATTCTTAGAATTTGAGTTCTGACCAGAATTGTTTTAACTAATGAAGACAGTGATATTAGAAGCCTATTTGAACTGAAAGCTAATTATGTTTAGCACACTGTTAGTTACACAGGTGCTTGATTAATAAAGTTTTTGATAGATAAACTGGCAGGTACTTACTTTCCTTCTGAGAGGACTTTCTCTCTCTATTCCATTCTTCTATATTCTTTCTAATGGGGGTGACTCTTGAGTATGTCTTTAGTCCTTTTGGTTTCAATTTTCTTCCCCAAAAGACTGTAGCACATTTATAGCTTTGTACTGATTGAAATCTTTTGTCATAATTCTGACCTCTAGTTTGCATGAGGACACTCATTTCCATCTGCCTTACCCCTAGATGTGTCCTTTTCTGTAAACCCAATGTCCAAATTCAGATTTCATTCTTTTTTTCTTTAATCAGACAGATACCCTTTCTACCTTTCCTTTTTCTGTTCTTTACTGTTGTGTTTTGTTTTGTTTTCCCATTTTCTCAGACAAGAATCCTTGCAGGCATTTCTCTTTTCTTTTGTCATCATCTCCAGTATTTCATCTGTTGTGTTATTTCTTGTTTCATTATTAAGTTATTTCTTTGAAATGCTTTTTATTTCAACTTCTAGTGCCATCAAGTTTTAACTTACATATAATCATTCATTTAATTACTCTTTCAGTAAATAGTTCATAAAAGATTAGCATGTACAGCATGTTCTGTTTAGTGCTGAGGAGGGGGCATATGATGTATATGTAGAAAACCTCACAACGGGCGCCTGGGTGGCTCAGTCGTTAAGCGTCTGCCTTCGGCTCAGGTCATGATCCCAGGGTCCTGGGATCGAGCCCCGCATCGGGCTCCCTGTTCCGCGGGAAGCCTGCTTCTCCCTTTCCCACTCCCGCTGCTTGTGTTCCCTCTCTCGCTGTATCTCTCTCTCTTTCAAATAAATAAAATCTAAAAAAAAAAAAAAGAAAAGGTTTTAAAAAAAAAAAGAAAACCTCACAACATTAGGTAGTTTCTAAGGTAAGAAATACACCTGACTTATCTATGTCCCTTACATGTGGCCCCAATGGGAAGCCCATTAGTGGTAGAAAACCCTCCTAAACTGTTAAACATCAGATTTTCCTTTCTTCTTTAAGCCCATGTTTGCTTTATTTTACCTCAAGATTGTTTTGCTGGTATTACAGGGTGTGATCCACACCTTAGGGTGATCCACACCCTAAGGTGTAGAATCCCCTAAGAGTTGGAGATAAGAAGGAAAGTTCTTGTATCTACTAACTCACAGTCTCCTCATCTACCCACAAAATTCACATTCTCTTCACCACAGAATCTTGATCATATTCTAATGCCTTTTGTTGAAATGTCCAAAACAGCCTTAGTGTTAATGTTCTAATGAAAAGGAAATCGTTGTTATTTTTGTCCTTTGTTTATCAAAGACAATTGCATTTGGTGTGATCCCATCATTCCCAAATAGACTCGGAGTGAAAGATCTTTCTCTCCCTTACTAGTGATTGCAATACCAGAACAAATGATAATGCCAATATTTTGATTTTTTTTTTTCAGGTAATGCCAAAAGTCAGTATCACTATTTTTTTGAAAAATATTCAGAATTGATTTTGTAAAAAATCTGTGAACTAATTAATACATTTCAATACTGTAACTTATAAATATATTAGAAAATATCAAGTAAAAATAAATTTACAAAATATAAAGGTTAAACACATATTACAGTCTAATATAAATTGTTACATAACATTAAGAATTCAAAAATAAACTAAACAAAACAGAAAATGATAATCTATTAACATGAAAAACTAAAGGAAATAGTAGTGTTTGACTTTTTTTGATGTAATCTTATAAAGCAAGATGCATCAGAAGTATCATAATTGAGTCTAGCAGATTTTAATGCAAATTTTTCTAGCTTTTCTTTGGAAAAACTCTGAGTCTATACTAGCTGAAGAATGGTAAAGAGATACATATAAGCAACTTCCATTTATTTTCCTCTAAATCCTTCATCTTCAAATAATCTCACCTCTTATTTATGATGGAACAGGTCATTTTTTAGCCAATTTTGATTTTTTTTGTTGATTGCATCTATTATTTTTTGTTACTAAAACACTTTTAGGGGCACCTGGGTGGCTCAGTCCGTTAAGCATCTGACTTGTGATTTCTGCTCAGGTCATGATCTCATGGGTCATGAGATCGAGCCCTGTGTTAGGCTCTGTGCTAAACGCAGAGCCTGCTTGGGATTCTCTGCCTCTCCCTCTCCTCCTTCTCCTCCCTCTGCTTACGCATGTATGGTCTCTCTCTCTCTAGTAAATAAATAAAATCTTTTTAAAAAAACACTTTTACTTCACCTTCATTTTCATCACAAAGGTGAAGATTTTGATGCATAGTTACTCATATCAGTTTCAATATCATCATATTCATGTTTCCTTTTATTGGGAAGGTCTTACAACTAAAGTAAGAACTATTCTTGCCATAACAGCTGTGCTTAGTCAGGATTATTTTTTTTCTTCTTTTGAGGATTTCGGAGATATAGAAGAACAAAATAGATATAGAAAAGTGTGTTCAGAGTGTCAATGCAGGGGCTCCTGGGTGGCTCAGTTGGTTAAGTGTCCAACTGTTGATCTCAGTTCAGGTCTTGATCTCAGGGTTGTGAGTTCAAGCCCTGCATTGGGCTCCATGTTGGGTATGGAGCCTACTTAAAAAAAAAAAAAAGGAATGTCAATGCAGGGTGTAACTGGGCAGGGAATAGTGTTTTTCAGCAAGTGTTTTAATTGTATGTTGAATAATTGAGTCATCATCTTGATTTCACATTTTTAGAAACACCAAACTCTCTACTCCACTGTTTATACTGCTTTCTTTACCGGAGTTCCTTCTCTGGGGTGGCCTCTGGGCAGCCTCCTCCGGTGTGCTGGTCGCATTGTACAGCAGTACTTTCCTGACTTGGTTAGCTCCCCTAAGAATATTCAGGACCACCACCTCTGGGCAGCACCTGACTCTGTTGGGCAACAGTTTTAATTTCTTTCCCCGCATACTCAGCTTGCCTGGCCCAATTTCTCTCATTCCCCAACCAAGCAATATAGCTTACAGGGCTAAAAAGCCCTCTGGTATGTCTATTCTCTTTTCTTTTCTTTGAGAAAGTAGAAAACATGATGGGGTGTGTCTTTAAGGAATTAGAGAGGTGGGGGATAGTAAAGAGCAGATGGAAAACATTGTAATTGCAGGAGCTGAGTGGCAAGTGGGTCAGGAGGGCTTATGGTGAGAGTAAAAGGGTAGAGGGCCTGTGGCATAAACAGAAAAAGGAAAGTGAAGGGGAGATTGGAGAGCAGGCCTGGAAGGCCAACGAGGCCAATAACCTCTGAAGAAACCACATTACGTAAACAGAAGTACTAAGGTTTCTTTTTAAGTACTGAATGTCACACAAGAAACTGGAGTAACAAACTCACTAAACATGTTTTCTATCATTTTTAGTCTTCAAATTCTCTGAGATCTCAAAAGGTTTAGGTTATTTTCATGGTATTATCAGTGTGGAAGGTTAAACCTTAAAGCTATCACCTAACTGTAAACTGAAAAGAAAGCGCATGATACATTTGTTTTCTTACATGAAGAAAAGTATGCACTAAGACCTTCTTTGCCTGTTTTACACAATAAGGTTTTCTGTTAGAAAGATTGGCATTTAATTTATGGCACAACTCAGAAGCCAATATTCTCTGAGGTAGTTATAGAAAGATAAAAGAATGATCAAGAGTAGAAATGTGTCATCACAAGTATCATAATAAGTTTAAAAATTAAAGCTACTTAAAGAAATTTAAGATGTAAATAAGGCAATTATCTATTTGACTTGTTGCTTTTGGGGGTGGAGGGTAAAAATAGAATTCATGTCAATGAGTTATTACTTTGCATTATACAAATACAGTGTTAAGGGTTTAAAGATACTGTCTTTGTAGGAATTCATAATTCTCAAACCATTTCACTTAAAGCAATATTGATATTAGTGGAATCTACGCTGTTAAGGAAGCAAATCAACTCAGCAAGAAGCTGAATCATGGTCTGTGATTCCGAGTCGCCCAGATAGTTTCTCAAGAGTTGTTACTAACTTTGTCTTTATGACATAACATGCTATCTTGATTTATCTGAAGTTATATCACAAAATTCCTGAGATACAACTAATTGTATTATCATTATAAAACCATATGACCTATGTTGAGACTTTTAGTCTGATCATATAAATGTGTAATGTGCTTATTTTAAATAAAATATAATCCATGCTGGGACACCTGGCTGGCTCAGTCAGAGAAACATGCGACTCTTGATCTCAGGGTTGTGAATTTGAGCCCCACATTGGGTGTAGAGATTATTTGAAATAAATAAAACTTAAAATATATATTTATACACACACACACACACACACACACAATCCATGTTTACTAAGTAAAGCATAACACTTATGATTTTATGATTTTTATATTTTGAATAGCAAAATAAGAAATTGAACATTTGTTACCATCCATTTACAAATCTGTAACGAACAAAATGTACCTGCATGGTAGATTTTCTTTTTCCCATCTTTATTGAGGTAAATTTACATATCATAAAACTCCACATGGTAGGTTTTTGGAAAAAAAATACTTTTTTAAAAAAAGGGAAATGTTGCACTTACAATCTCTCCACTGTCATACAACAACTTTTTATTTTTCAGTATTTCATTTCTCATCTAGTTTTTTAGGGGGAGAGTGATGTCACAAATAATATAGCAAGAACTTGTCCATTTCCAAAAGGATTGGAGTCATGATCACACTGGTTAAATGTAAATAAATGGGGGCGCCTGGGTGGCTCAGTCTGTTAAGCGTCTGCCTTCTTCAGCTCATGATCCCGGGTCCTGGGATCGAGCCCCGCATCAGGCTGCCTGCTCAGTGGAGAGCCTGCTTCTCCCTCTGCCTCTCACCCCGCTCATGCTCTCTCTCGTTCTCGCTCTCTCTCAAGTGAATAAATAAAATCTTTTTAAAAAAAGTCTGAACAGGGGCGCCTGGGTGGCTCAGTCGTTAAGCGCCTGCCTTCGGCTCAGGTCATGATCCCAACGTCCTGGGATCAAGCCCTGCGTCAGGCTGCCTGCTCAGTGGAGAGCCTGCTTCTCCCTCTCCCTCTGGCTGTGCTCACGTTCCCTCTCTCTCACCTCCTCTGTCAAATAAATAAATAAAATCTTTAAAAAAAAAAAAAAAAAGTCTGAACAAATGATTGAATTTTAGTTAAATTCTTCTGTACTTACCTACCCTCTAACTGAATCTCTTCTTAATCTGAAAACTTACTTTGTTTCATCTGTATTAAATACTCTTCTTCATGATCTTCATTAAGGAGATGAAAGAATACAAAAAAGTATGGGACTTGCTCTTTCTTAGGTGAGCTTTTGTATGGATTACTTTGTAACCGTGCCTGCGTGCATCAGGTATTGGGTAGGTGCTTGGGTTAATAAATGGGTACAGCATGGCACCTACGCTCAAGGAACTTGCATTCAAGTCAGGGACTCAGCATGTAGGATAATCTATTCTCTCTTCTTTGCCCATTTGAATCTAACCACCTTCAAGACCTCATTCAGTTCCCAAACCTTTCAGGAAATCTTCACCAGCTCAAACTCTCAGTGATACTCCTTTTTTTTGAACTTCTTTTTTGTTATTTAGTAATTAATATATATGGTTTTATACTTCTGTTTTGTTTCCTTAATAGGATTTTAAATTCCTTGTGAGCAGGAATTATTTTCTTTCTTTTGGATCTTATAAGCACATAATGAAGTAGTAGGTACATAATAGATGCTGAAGTATTTGCTGATTTCCTTGACTAAAGCCTTTTCTTTAAAAAAAAAAAAAAAGACAGATATGAAACAAAACTACAAAAAGAGAGCTTGCTTTTGTTCTTGTACGACTGCCAGGTATTGGTATTACTTTTGATTATTTGGAGGTTATTTGGTTTTGAGGAGAGAGTATCTTTCAGTGCCAAAGAAATTTGTTAGGGGGAAACAAATTGTGCAATAGTGAAGATGAGCAAGCTAGCTCATCCATGAGCCTACCTTTTACTTACAGTTTACTCTCTTACAGATACTGCAGGAGAAGAGGCTGGGTACGATCCACACTCATCATGTCTGTCCCACAAACAAGCACTTCTAAAGGGAAAGTCATGCTTAAAGAATATAGTGGACGCAAAATTGAAGTAGAACACATTTTTAAGTGGATAACTGCTCATGCAGCTTCTCGGATCAAAACCATTTATAATGCTGAACATTTGAAAGAAGAATGGAATAAAAGTGATCAGTATTGGGTAAAAATATACCTATTTGCAAACCTTGACCAACCCCCAGCTTTCTTCTCTGCACTAAGTATAAAGTTTACCGGAAGAGTTGAGTTTATTTTTGTTAATGTGGAAAATTGGGACAACAAGAGTTACATGACAGATATTGGTGTGTATAACATGCCATCATACATTCTTAGAACTCCTGAAGGAATTTACAGATACGGAAACCACACAGGTGAATTTATATCCCTTCAGGCCATGGATTCATTTTTGCGCTCATTGCAACCTGAAGTAAATGATCTGTTTGTTTTGAGCTTGGTTCTAGTTAATCTTATGGCTTGGATGGACTTATTTATCACACAAGGAGCAACCATAAAGCGATTTGTGGTTCTCATAAGCACTTTAGGGACATATAATTCTCTATTAATTATTTCCTGGCTACCTGTGTTGGGCTTTTTACAGCTCCCTTACTTAGATAGCTTTTATGAATATAGCTTAAAATTGTTGCGATATTCCAATACAACCACACTGGCTTCATGGGTAAGGGCAGACTGGATGTTCTATTCTTCACACCCGGCCCTGTTTCTCAGTACGTACCTTGGACATGGTTTACTAATCGATTACTTTGAGAAGAAGAGACGGCGCAACAACAATGATGAAGTCAATGCCAATAACTTAGAATGGTTATCAAGTCTGTGGGACTGGTACACCAGCTACCTCTTCCACCCGATTGCTTCTTTTCAGAACTTTCCTGTAGAATCTGATTGGGACGAAGACCCTGACTTATTCTTGGAGCGGTTAGCTTTCCCTGACCTTTGGCTTCACCCTCTGATACCAACTGATTATATAAAAAATTTGCCAATGTGGCGATTTAAATGTCTTGGAGTCCAGTCTGAAGAGGAAATGTCGGAGGGTTCTCAAGATATTGAAAATGACTCAGACAGTGAGAGCACAGACACTTTCAGCAGTGAAAAGGAAGTATTTGAAGATAAACAAAGCATAGTTCACAATTCTCCAGGAAGAGCAAGTCACTGTGATGCTGAGGCTTGTTCATGTGCCAATAAATATTGTCAGACCAGCCCATATGAAAGGAAGGGGAGGTCATATGGATCATATAATGCTAATGAAGATATGGAACCTGATTGGTTAGCTTGGCCTGCTGATATGCTGCACTGTACTGAATGTGTTGTTTGCCTAGAGAATTTTGAAAATGGATGTTTGCTAATGGGGTTGCCTTGTGGTCATGTGTTCCATCAGAATTGCATTGTGATGTGGTTGGCTGGGGGCCGACACTGTTGCCCTGTTTGCCGGTGGCCTTCTTATAAAAAAAAGCAGCCATATGCACAACACCAGCCCTTGTCAAATGATGTCCCATCTTAACCATGTGCAATTTGTCCTTTATAAGCTTTGAGTATCTTACAGCTTGCCTTTTTAATGTTAGTCACAATGTTTTTGTGGTTTGAAGTTTAGTTTAATGTTAGTGCAGTGACAGGAAATACACATTATGCTAATGTTGATAATTACTTGGTTGCCTTGTGTGTCAATTGAATGCATACTTAATTGTAAAAATTTTTATTTACAACATTGGAAATTCAGAAGTTAATGTTTTTTGTAAGCACAAAAGAAGTATGATAGAAATTTATCCTAGCAAGACTTTACGAGGTAGGATCAAATTCTAATGGAATTGAGGCAGTTTCTTATCCTAAATGTTTCCTCCCTTTTTACAATCTCTGTCCAGCACCTCTTGGTTAAATAATGTATGCTCTGAGACATGAAATTAAAACAGACCTATGAAATAAATTATTTTAAAACCAGAAGATTACAGTTTTTCCAATGTTAAATTGTTTTTGATGAGGTGACTGAATGCTATAGGTATTTTGCTGGTTTGTTAATTTCACAGGTAAGTCAAATGGAATCCTTGACTATAAGTATAAGTATGTTGCTTATACTGGCCAGAGGTGACATTAGTCAGCCTCTTAGCTTGGTTAGCGTTGATGGGAAGGAATTTCATGGTGGGCTCTTTTTTTTAAGTATTAAGTCGTTTATGAGTAGTATATTAATCTAAGTAAAATCAACTATACCATATTAGCCACATGTTGATTACTTACGTTTTTCCTAACTTTGATTTTGAAAAATTAAAAAACTACAGAAAAATTGGAAGCAGTACAGTGAACATCCATTTCTCTAATTCACCAAGTGTTGATATTTTGTTACCTTTGCTCTATCTTCTCTATGTGTATATTTATCTTTTTTCTTTTCTCTGGTTTGTTTTTTGTTTGTTGCTGATCCCTTTGAAAATAAATTTTAGTCACCCTGATTCTTCTTTACCACTGAATATATCACCATGTATCTCCTAAGAACAAGAACTTCTTTTTACATAACCACCATACCATTATCACACCCAAGAAATTTATTAACATTGACTCAGTAATATTTAATATCCAATCCCTACTTCCCACTTGCTTCCAAAATATCCTCTATATGTTTATGTTTTCATTTTATTTTTATTGTGAACCTCAGGCAAGGTTCATGCATTGGGTTTGGGCTTCTTCCTTTCATCCTTCTCTCTAAAAGCAGTTCCCTGCCTTTTTTTTTTTTTTTTTTTTAAGTCTTTCCTGATAAATTTTTGAAGAGTACAGGCTAGTTGACTTATAGAATGTTCTACATTCTGGATTTGTCTGTTTCCTCATGATTAGATTTAAATTAATATTGCCTGGGTGGTATCTACCTCCCATTTGTATGACATCAGAAGACATTTTTTTTTTTTTTTTAAAGTTTTTATTTATTTGACAGAGAAAGACACAGCGAGAGAGGGAACACAAACAGGGAGTGGGAGAGGGAGAAGCAGACTCCCTGCCGAGCAGGGAGCCCGATGCGGGACTCGATCCAGGGACTCCAGGATCATGACCTGAGCCGAAGGCAGTCGCTTAACCAACTGAGCCACCCAGGCGCCCGACATCAGAAGACATTTTGTATCAGTTTGTCCCATCATCGGTGAAGCTAAATTTGGTTAAAGTAATATCTTTCCATTGTAAGATACTTTTTCACTTAAGAGGGAACCTGTGAGGCTATGTGAATATCCAATTTTTTTTTTAATTTTTATTCCAGTATAGTTAACATTCAATGTTATGTTAGTAACCCAATGGTTTTAACATCCACTGATGATTATTAGTCTAAATCAGTTATTAAATAGGAGTTGTACCATGGCGATTTTCTTCTTTTTTTTTTTTAAGAATGGTTGATTTAGAGACTGAGCGTGGGGGCAGGGATGGGGTGGGGTCAGTAGGGGCAGAGGGAGAGAGAGAGAGAGAATCTCAAGCAGACTCCCTGCTGAGCGTGGAGCCTGACTCAGGGCTCAGTCCCACGACTCTGAGATCATGACCTGAGCTGAAATCAAGAGTCAGATGCTCAACCGACTGAGCCACCCAGGCGCCCTATAACGTGGGGATTCTCTAATTGCATCCTTCATTCTACATTTTTTAGCTGGCATTTGTGTGTGTGTGTGTGTGTGTGTGTGTGTGTGTGTGAAGAAGAGCTGTTTTTCCATTTTTCTTTCTCACATACTTTGAATATTATTGGACTTACTGTCTTTTTATATTCAATGTGTTAAAATTCATTATTCTTTTTGATTTCTGAATCCCAAATTTGGTAAGTGGGAGCCCCTCTAGGCTCTTCTGTGCTATTGATATATCCCTTTCAATCTTTTTTTTTTTTTTTT